TTATCAAAAAATTTATTATTTGTATTACAAGTGTTAAACAGCTAAAATAAACATATAGTTATAAAAACGAGATTTAGTCATTTTTAGCTAAACTCCTTAAATTTTTATTGTAATTAACTTATTTCTAAACGTAAAAAAAATTCCTACAATATTTGCTTTCGAAATTCAATCAATATGTTTTGTCCTAATAAAGCTCTTTATTTGTTTCTGAAGTTTGTTTACAAAAGCAAAGATAAAAAATAATTTTAACCGTAAAAAAGTCGGCCTTCGCTAATTTTACGGAAAATGAGCTGTCGCGGCCTGTTTAAGAAGGCCTTGAACAATATAAAATCATAAACAATGAAAATAAAAACATCAGAAATAAAAATAAAATATAATTTAAAAAACACATCACCATACAATGTATGGTGATGTGTTTTTTAAATTATATTTTATTTTTATGTATGATACATATCACTTTGAATCAGAAAACGCTCGAACTGATACAACAGAAAATGCTCGAATTTATATAGAGTTAAAATTAACATTTAAAACTACATTATAACAGATTAACAAATATTCATAAAATAAACTGCAAACCACGCAATCATCCCCAGATGTTCTTGAGCTTTTTCTTTATAGAATTACAAATATTAATTAGTAAAACTATTGAATCTAAAAAAGCTGTTTTATGGCTGACTTGTCTCCTGTGTAAATAAATAAAAGATGGCGTATAACAAAGACGATTTTTTATACTTGTTTTATTTTTGAAAACTTACTAGGAACTTACTAAGTAATTCGTTTAATCCTGATAAGTACTTAGTAGGAACTTACTAGGTTTAGCAGGAAATTCATAAACGTCATTTCACTAATGGGAAACTTAATAGGTTTAGCCGTATTAAGCGAAAACTTACCAGGATTAGCCGTTTTAGCAGGAACTTAACAGGATTAGCAGGAAGTTAAACATATTCCTAGTAGTATTAGCGGGTTTTTTTTTCTCGGGTACCCGAGAAAAAAAAACCCGCTATTACTACTAGGAATATGTTTAACTTACTTTCACCGCTACTAATTAATATTTGTAATTCTATAAGGAAAAAGCTCAAGAACATCTGGGGATGATTGCGTGGTTTGCAGTTTATTTGATGAATATTTGTTAATGTGTTATAATGTGGTTTTAAATGTTAATTTTTATATAAATTCGAGCATTTTCTGTTGTATCAATTCGAGCATTTTCTGATTCTTAGTGATATGTATGGTGATGTGTTTTTTAAATTATATTTTATTTTTATTTCTAATTTTTTATTTTCATTGTTTATGATTTTATATTGTTTAATAAACATAAAATCATAAACCATAAACAATTATATTGTCACTTTTTCTTTTTACTATTTCTTTTTACTAAAAAGAGTAAGTAACTTATCTTTATTAATAAAGATTTGTCACTTTTTTTTAGTAAAAAGAGAGACTTTTACTTTTAATTTTCTTAAAATTTTATTTGTAATTTTATTTAAAAAGAAAAATTTTTATGTCAAAAAACCACTCACTTCAAGTTTGACTAAAAGTTTTAGTCAAATTAAAAGGGAGTAAACCATTTGACATTAAAAATTGATCAATATTGAAATCACTCTCTCATAAAATATATATAAACATTTTTTACTGGTAAATATATTTTTATTGTTATCTCTTGTTAACAAGATTTAACATTTCTTTTTAACATTTTAAACAAACTATAAAATTATTGAATATTGTTATATTTTGTAGTATAGTTTTTATTTACTTAACATTAAGATTTTTGTTATAAATGCCATTATATAAATTAATTTAAAATTTCAATAATTTAATTTTATGATATTTTGATTAATTACTACTGTATATAGTTATATAATGCTAGTTACTCAAGTTTTTAGTAATATATATATATATATATATATATATATATATATATATATATATATATATATATATATATATATATATATATATATATATATATATATATATATATATATATATATATATATATATATATATATATATAAATATATACTAAAAACTTGAGTAACTAGCATTATATAACTATATACAGTAGTAATTAATCAAAATATCATAAAATTAAATTATTGAAATTTTAAATTAATTTATTTAAGTTTAATTAATTTTTTTATAGACTTAATTGTATTATATTAACTTAATATAAAAAGGAAATATTGGATATTTCATTCTTAAATATATTTTGAAAAAATCTAAAGTGGGAGAAAAAATTTAAGCTGGGCTCTTTACTTCTTTAGTGGGGGGGGTGTGTGTGTGTGTGCAAATTTTATGGTTAGGCCACTGATATATATATATATATATATATATATATATATATATATATATATATATATATATATATATATATATATATATATATATATCATAGACTCCATAAAATTGACACATTTTTTTCGACGAAAGCCAAAAAATTTGAATAATGAACTTGTTAAGTGGAAAGCTCAAGAGCACAAGTATTTTCTATTGTATTATGGGCCATTTGTGTTTTAAAAATTTGGTAATGCTAAAATTTGTTCTCTTTATTTAATGCTTTCAACTACTTATACATTATCCAATGAAATTGTTTCATCAAATGATATTGATGCTTGTCAGCAACTAATTTATTTATTTCAAAAGGCATTATGCTCCTATTTCGGTGAAGGTATTCGCACATTCACTTTCCATGCATTAGTGCATCTCTATGACCAGGTAAAAAATTTTGGACCTCTTACAGCAACGTCTGCTATGGTGTTTGAAAATGTAAATCGCCAACTAAAGAGGTCTGCAAAGAAAATGCATGCAAAAAAGTGCCTGAATAACAAAAAAAGCGGAAACTTCATTCCTTCGATAAGAACTTAATGTGAGAACATCAACAAAATTTTCATGAAAGTTTTTAGCAAAACTAACCATAAAAAAGTTTAGTGGTTATAAATAAAAGTACTATAAAAATCAAGCCTAACCTTTCTTCTTTCCAATTATACTTTTTGTTTATATATGTTTTTAAAAAAAAACACCACTAAAAACGTTTGTCTAACCCTACTTCAAAAAAGCAGTATATTTAAAAAAGCACCTCGTTACATATCTGCTCCCTAATATTTTTCGTTGAAATTTGGCACATAAATAGAAAATACATGTATAAAGGTGGCTGAACAATCAAAAAAGCGGAAACTTCATGCCTTCGACTACAAATTTATGTGAAAACATCAACCAAATATTCAGTAGCAAAATAATCCGTTAAATAGTTTAGTAACCATACATAAAAGTTAAAAAAAAATAAAGATCAGCTTCCCCAGACAGCAAGCTTACATTGGCCCAATGTTGTATACAACGTTTACCCAACATTGGCCCATCGTTGTATATAACGTCAGACCAATGTTGTATACAACATTGGCCCAACGTTGTATACAACATTGACCCAACGTTGTATACAAAATTGGCCTAACGTTGTATACAACATTGGCCCAATATCGTATGTTATATATCGGCCTAACGTTTTAAGCAACATTAGATCGTTGTTACAAATAAGATGATTTGCATCGCCACATTGAAAATTTATAGAGAAAAAAAAGAATGTATGATACAAGTATGAAAATTTATTTATTTAACATAATTTCTCGGTTAAATATACATATTGCAAACACCAAACTTAAACCAAAAACTGACACATTGAGTTTTAAATAAAAAAATTCACAATAAAATTTATAGAGCAGTTTCGATATTAGCTGAGCTACTTGTTATTGAATCGTGTTTAGCTTATGATATTTGGTGCCCACGATTATTATTTTTTCTTCCTCTATCTCTATTAGGGCTGTACCGGATTTAATTTTTTCAAATCCGGCCGGAGCCGGATTTGCCGGATTTCTACTGACAGATCCGGCCGGAATCGGTGCCGGAGCCGGATTTCAAAACAAAACTACAGGAGCCAAAATCCTGTACATCTCTACTTGGTGTTGAGCATGGTCAACAATGTGGACTATTCAGAATACCAAGTGACTGCTGTTTTCTGTTAAACTTCATTGTTGTTATTTAAAAAGTTTTATAGCAATTTCTATATATAAATTAATAGAAATTCTAAAGAAATTCTATAGGCCATATGTTTTAAAAGTTTATAGTAATTCTATTGAATTTTTTTTCTGGTATTTTGTCACTCCGCCACTGTAGTGGATCATTTTATCTATTTTTTTCTGGTTCTTTCGGATATTTCCTTAGCTGAGTTTCAATGCCTTTTAGTAATTGTTGTTTATGTGCCCTGCCACCAGCGGACGTAGACTGAATAATTTTATCAATAAATTGCCAGAGTAATGATGACGATGATGTAGAAAAATTATTAAGCCCGGCTTATTTTGGTGGATTTTCTTCAGTTTTGTCAATCTTCTGTTCAGCATGCTTAGATTAACTTCAATTTTGATTTTTCAGCTGTCAGTGTTGCCTGTAATGAGGAGAATTTAGTTTTAAATTGTGAGTCAATCAGCCTCGTCAGTATATAAAGAGGTTTCTCTTTTCAATGCTTTTAAAACGCTCATCCAATCACTTGATTAGGGTTGACATCATAGTCTTTATACCTGCATCATTGTAGAATATCGTGTGTCTTCCCTTTAGAATTTTTTGTTGCGTTGTTGTTTGAAATTAGACTTAGCTTATTAAATTATAAAGAAATATAAATACAAATACCAAAATAAATATGAGGTTCATAAAATATAGAATTACAAAAAAAATTGATTTTTATAAATAAAATATTAGGTATACATGTAAACACGGGCAAAAAAAATGTACTAAATATTTGACAAAATTCAAAACTCCGGCTAAAATTATGCCGGATTTGCTAAATTTTTGCCGGAGCCGGATTTGGGCCGGATTTGTAAAAATGGCCGGATTTCGGCCGGAGCAGGAGCAGGAGCCGAAATCCGGTACAGCCCTAATCTCTATCACATGTCTGCATAAGCCATGCTTATTTGACTTCACAGTTTCTGCAAAAAAAAAATAGTTGTTTGTTTAATTATGCACCAAAGAAATATAACAAATTGAAAGTAATTCTGTAATGCAAAATTGAAACAGAAAAAATAAACCTTTCTAAACCATTTACCAATAGCAGCATATGCAATCAACATTTTTTCTATTCCAATTTTTTGTCCTCTCCCTGCATAGTTTAATTTTACAACTAGGCCATTTTAAAAAACTATTCTTAGCAAATAAAATATACAATCTCCTTTGTCTTTAACTCCGATTTGTGCCAAATAATTGACCTGCAAAAATACACAACCTGGCAATAATTAAAGTAACTTTTATTTAGACTTAAATTAATATAAAATGTAATTTACAAAAAATCTTCAAAGAGTATTTTATTTAAAGTATATAAATTGTACTAAGATATCGTACAAAATGCATAAAAAAATTATAAAAAAATATTTACCATTTACTTACTTATTTTCTTTTCTTCCAGAGTACTTGAATTCTTCACTGCTTTTAATAGCAATGACACTCTCTCAGGCAATACAATAATTAGCATACCTTAGTTACTCAAATTTTTATAACTGAATTTGATGTGTTTTCTAGTTTACCAAGTTGTACTTCAATGATGACTTAGAATGAACACTAAGAAAAACATAAGTTTCAGAAAAAATAAATGGGTAGCACCAAAAAAAACATAATAGCTTAATTGAGCATTGGATTTTGAAAATGTGACAAGTCACAAAATTAAAATTTTACAAGGGAGTGAAAAATATTTCTCCTGTAAAAAATTTGATTTTTATTTTATCTAAAAATTATTTCTTTTCTCTAAAATAATCTTTATTTTATCTAAAAAAATCTTTACTTTATCTAAAAAAATCTTTATTTTATCTTAATATTTTTTTATTTTAAGTAAGGTTATTTGAAAAGAATATTTTTTTGAAAATATTTTTTTCTAATAACCTCACTTTTAAAAAAAGTGTCATCACGTTTTCAAAATACAGCGCTCATTTGTGAAACGAGTAACTTCTTAACTAGAATTACTGATTTTTCCATGACTATCTAAAGAAAAAATAATTTCCTGACTTTTCCAGGTTTTCCACGACTTTAGCCAATATTAACAAATTTTCCAGATTTTCAAGGTACAGTACGGACCTTGTCCAATGTTTGTAAATAATTTTTTTTACATATTTTAGTTCTGAATTTTAATAACACTATTTTAAAAAATAATATCATCTATAAAAATATTGTATTACCTTCGTCTATTAGATAAATTTAAATAAACGTTTATATAATGAATAATAATGAATCACCAGCAACTGTTAAAACTTTAAACTGATATGAATACTGATATAAATACAAATACTGTTGTTTTTTTCAACATTTGATTTCAAATGGTTTTCAAAGTTGGTGACACCAACTTCGAAATCCAACAAAAAATTTTTGTTACGTTCATAAACTTAAATGTTCTCAAAACAACTAAAAAACCTGGCCAGTTTTTCGCAACTAAATATATTTTCTGTGGTCAGTATTCGAGAGCGATCGCTACCGCTTACTGACCAAGCCTGTGGTGTAAGCTTTGATATTTTGATTATTACATACTAAAATGTTAATTAACACTTTGACTTTTTGACCGTAATATATGAAAAAGTTTTTAAAATTGTAAAAGTTAAAGCAATAATCAAATTATTTTTGAATAAAGATTTTCAATCATTAGACACCATTTAATAAATTTGTTCATTCAACTTCTCAGAGCAAACATTAAACTTCTGTAAAGATTTTGGAGTTACAGGTAAATCCCAAAGTTTAATAATATTTTTTGTTTTATTATAAGAAAATGAGGATAAATCATCTACACCAAGATATACACAATTTTTTGTCTCTTCAATCTTTATTTTGACTGGTCATTTTCGCTGTCTTCCTTTTTTGTCTCCAGAGCAGAAATTTAGCCTTATGCTAAATTCAATCTTGTATTGCTTTAAAAATCTATAAATCAAATCATTAATAATTAAGTTATAACTAAAGTTAATGTATAAGCTTAAAGTTGTTAACTGTTGTAGGCAAACTAAATATGAAAAATATCCAGAGATATTAAATTAAAAAATAATTAAACCAAGAATAATGTCCCTCTGCTTCGGAAAGATGGAATATTAGAAAGCTTTACATAAGTAAAATATAAGTTCTAGTAACATCACTTTTTGTAAACTGTTTTAATATGTTAGTAGATGGGGTTTCATAATCAAACACAGAAAAAATCAGACAAAAGAAACATATTTAAAATGTAAAATATCAGCTTCTAACAATTTCAATGCCACATGTATATCATTGATACCTTTAACAATATATCTTATAATAGCTATATAATCTAAACTATTATAAATAATGAAAAAAAAATTATACTGTATGACATTTTAAATGTTTGATTTATTTAATAAAGAAGGCATTTAATATATCGTTTTTATTAAATAAATCGAAAATTTGAAATGTTTCATTTATTTATAAATAATAATAATAAATTTTATAAAATAATAATAAAATTTAATAAATTAAATTTAATAAAGATTATTAAATAAAACAAACATTTGAAATGCCAATACAGCAATAAAAATAAAAAAATAACTTTAAGATCTTACACAAAAATAATTTGATTATTGCCTTTATTATTACATTAATAATTTAGATTGTAGTAAAAAATGTTTTAAGCATATTATTTAAATGTTAACAAATATTTCATTTAAAAAAACAAAAGATTAAGTCACGAGAATCTCTTGAAGTTTACTTCTTATTAGAAGATTAATAATCTTATTAGAAGATAAAATTTACTTCTTATTAGAAGATTAATAAATATAGCTTCTTTTTTTTATTTTTATAATTTAAATAAATGGAAAGATATATAATAGTATCAAAACCTTTTTTTATTCTGTCAAACGATACCATTTTTAAAAAATGTTTCGAAACAATTTAAAAGTATATACTAATCCGAAACTACATTGGCCGAATATTGTCTACGGTATAAATGTAAAAACAGATTTTTATGGCAAAATATTAAGCCTAAACTACATTGGCCAAATATTGGCCCAACGTAGCAAAAAACCGATTTGTAGAATTGCAATATTACGCCGAAAAAAAAACATTGGCTAAATGTTGGCCCAATATATTACAATATTTGCAAAAAACAGATTTGCAGAATTGAAAAAAATACGCCGAAAAAAAACATTAGCTAAATGTTGGCCCAACGGAATAAACTTGCCAATGTTAAAACTTACATTGGGCAAATGTAAGCTTGCTGTCTGGGTCTCTTCTTTCCAAAAAGTATCTATGTGTATATATGTTTCTAAAAAGAAACTCCACAAAACTACGTCTACCCCACGCTGCCTTAAAAAAAGTGAAATAAACGAGTCACAAGATTTTATCACAAAAATCGGTTCCGTAAATGACGATATGCGCGTACCTATTACCTGAAGCTGATTGATTGTACATGGTTTGAGATTGAACTAAACATATTGTGTGTTTATATATATATATATATATATATATATATATATATATATATATATATATATATATATATATATATATATATATATATATATATATATATATATATATATATATATATATATATATATATATATATATATATATATATAATACACAATTATTAAATATTACTAAAAACTTTAGTAACTAGCATTATAGAACTATACATAGTAGTAATTAATGTAAATATCCTAAAAATTAATTATGAAAATTTTAAATTAATATATATTATGGCATTTATAACAAAAATCTTAATGTAAAGTAAATAAAAATTATAACATAAAATATAACAACATTCAATAACTTTATAGTTTGTTTAACATGTTAAAAAGAAATGTTAAATCTTGTTAACAAGAGATAACAATAAAAATAAAAATATATTTACCAGTAAAAAATGTTTATATATATTTTATAAAAGAGTGATTTCAAGATTGACCAATTTTTAATATCAAATGGTTTACTCCCATTTAGTCTGAGTAAAATTTTTAGTCTGACTAAAACTTTTAGTCAGGCTGCAAACCACGCAATCATCCCCAGATGTTCTTGAGCTTTTTCCTTATAGAATTACAAATATTAATTAGTAAAACTATCGAATCTAAAAAAGCTGTTTTATGGCTGACTTGTCTTCCGTGTGAATAAATAGATGGCGTATAACAAAGACGATTTTTTTATACTTGTTTTATTTTTGAAAACTTACTAGGAACTTGCTAAGTAATTCGTTTAATCCTGATAAGTACTTAGTAGAAACTTACTAGGATTAGCAGGAAATTCATAAACGTCATTTGACTAATGGGAAACTTAATAGGTTTAGCCGTATTAAGCGAAAACTTACCAGAATTAGCGGTATTAGCAGAAACTTAACAGAATTAGCAGGAAGTTAAACAGATTCCAAGTAGTATTAGCCGGGTTTTTTTTCTCGGGTATTTAATTTAGGGAACGAAAAATCGACCATTTGCGGTGATCGGACTTCTGCAGTGATGGTCTGAAAACTGAAAACCACTAACCGACAATCACCCCATACCTCTAACCGCTGTCACTGCCAATGCATCACCGCGCACCACAATCACCGACCGCTAATTTAATTTGCACGCGTAATCTAATGAAATTCCATTCCATTTCGAATGAAGTAAGTATAATTTACTAACTCTAGAAAAACTTTTAGTATTAGGGAAAATAGAACATTAAAATAGAACATTAAAATAGGAAAGTTTCTAGTATTAGCTCATTTGCTTAGTTTTTTGCTAATAATTGTTTTAATTAAAGATTATATAGATTTGTTTATACTATTTAAACAAATAATGATTAAATATGTTTTGGAAAATCTGTTTCATCATCGCGAAACTTTTCTTCAGAACAAAATTGTTTTGAATTTCAAAATTGGAACTTTCCTACTTTCAAAAATAAACTGAAGAAAGTTATTTTCACAATAGATAATATATTAGAGTTCTTTTGAACTCAATCCTCTTTTATAAGTGTTTCCTAAATGTAATTTTTAAAATACATGGTTATGTTTGTATTTTATTATTATAAGGTTTTCGATGACAGGATCTTACGATTCTCTTCTGTTTTTTTCTCGATAAGAAACTAAAAACTGGTCTTTGCTTTTACGACAAAAAGGGGCAATAAGATTGTTATTAATTCAAAGATTATATTTGTTTTTAGGTTTCATACAATAAAGATTTTTTAATACATTTGGCGACAAATTTTCTCTACATTTTAACATGAAACATAAAATTTAAGACATTTAGTTGATATACATTTAAAATATTCATTTCTTTAAAAAGTTGTTTTGTATGAAAAAATCGATTTTTAAAATTTATTGCGCGAATTGCGTGTTTCTGATGAAGTTAAAGAGATTTTAGCTTTGTTCTGTGAATGCTTCCCCATATAATATTCGCGTAGTTTATATGACAATGTATAAATGAATAATATTATTGTGCTAACTGGTATTTAATATATTTAAATATTGCTTTATAGAGAATTCCGATGCATTTAGCAATTTTATTGGAGGTATTATCAATATGATTTCTCCAAGATAGATTTTCATCAATATATACTCCAAGAAATTTAGTAACTTTTTATCTTTTTATTATATAATCAATTAAAAGGTCTGGCATGATGTGGGGCAGTTTCTTTTCTTTTTCTGGGGCAGTTCTTACATTTTATGTACGATAATATTTTTATTTTTAAGGTATATATTATGTAAATACCAAATATATTGTTATAAAAACAGACAAAAATTTTTAGAAAAACTCTTGAATTCCTAATCTTAATAAATGCCGGAGATTAGAAATGCTCACCCTTTACCTTCAACAATTTAGATTTAACAATAAAAATTCTCGCCGGTAGACAGTTAGATTGGTAGCCTGTTAGGTTGGTTGCATGTTAGCTGGAAACCTAAAGTAATCTGAACTAAATAGTTCTGTTTCTGAAATATTAGTTTCAATTTTGCTTTACCTACGTTTTGATCTACATTACTGTTTTAAAGGGTAGCAACAAAATTCTTTGTTAATAAGGTTTTGGATTGGAAGAGAAGAGTTATTATAATTAAATAAAAAGTAGCTTTCTCGACTGTAGTGAAGTCTTGGGGGTGAGCTTGAAATAAAGAAAAAATTTATTATTTGTCTTGGCTATTGATTTGTGTCTGAATCTTTCAAGGTATTCTCTGTATACAATAGAAATTTGGTTAACAGATTGGATTTTGAATATTCCTTTTCAATCTTTTTTAATAAAGTAGTTAGTTCACACTTTAATTAACAATATTATATTTAGTATTTAGTTAACACATTTATACTATTATTAATATTTCAAACAAGTTTGCAATAATTCGTTGCAAACTTACTTGAAATATATCCGAATAAATTTTGTGAAAGATAAATTTTGTTAGGTTATTTCAGAAAGAAATTCAAAAAAGTTTCTATAAAGCATTTTTTGTAAAACAATTTTGATTTCAAAAATTATGTCTTTTGGGGGAATGGATGTCCACATCAACATGACACAAGGTCACACCGGTGTAAACCTGGCTCATGATTATCAAATAGCAGAGTATTAAAATTTATAATTTAGATCTCAGAAATCATATATACTTGTTTATTAATCTTAACATGAATATTTTTCTTAAAAAATTTGGGACACCATAAAATAAAGATAAAAAATTGACTTTTTTTCATATATGAAAAACAAGTCAATTTTTTTATATTTAGTTTTTGGTACCCCTAATTTTATGGGGTCTCCTGTGCCATGGCACACCCTGCTTGTGCCTAAATCCGGGCCTGTATTTAAAATCAAAAGCTATATTTCTTTTAATTGTGGATTAAACATTATCTATCAAATGATTTTTCAACTGCTGTACTTGTTAATGAAAGCGATAACTTGTTGATGGAGGCGATAAAATTGTTGATGAAAGCGATAACTTTTTGATGGAAACAATAACTTGTTGATAGATTTTTAAAGTTTGTTAAAAATGTTAAGCGATGAAATGAATATTTTTATTTTTTATTTATAAAAAATAAAAATATTCATTTTAATACAAGTGTACATTAAAAAACCCAATGTTTATACTGAAATGTTTATACTGAAGAATACAAAAACAATTCAATGTACAAATTGTAGTGTAAATGCAATCTAAACAAATAAAGGAGAGTAAACAAATAAATACATCAGACTTCTCTATGTTGACACAGGTAAGCCGGACAAACCATCTGGTCAAGAAAGCCAATAAAAAATAAAAAATAAAAAATCAAACCGTCGTAATCCGGAAAAATTTTTAATCCTGATAGTAAAAAATAGACGCTCCGTAAACCGGGGGTTACTTTGAACGTTTTTGAGAAATTTTTACTAGCTCTTCCTTCACTTCTGACAATATTTGAAATTTAACAAAATGAATATAGGGGAATATAGGTTGACTCTTACATAATTCAAATTTAAAATAATATTTAAATATAAAGATTTTGAATAATATTAATTTAATTAATCATTTCAAAGTTATCCCACAAGTAGGGTAACTTTGAATACGCATTCTGTAGAACGACAACCTATTCAAAAACGCATTTTTTTGTTTTAGTGTTTAATAAAAGCAACAGTCTAGTTTTACCTGAATTATTATTGATAAAATAATATAATATTATTTCATAACAAACACCCATTTCGTTTTTTGCTTTGTTTTGATGCGTATGCTTTAAAAGGAATAGCATAAAAAGAGTCTCATTTACATCAGTATCATTATCAAAACAATTTTACATTTTGCAAAAAACATTCTCAAAAGAAATACTTTTTCCAAGGTCAAAAGTAGTTTTTTTTTCCCTTTGAGTCTCGACATCAATACGACACAGTTGTTAAAGTAAATTAACTACTTTTTGGTGTACTAAAATTACAACTACCTACTGGCAAACGATTGAGGATGATACTTACATCTAATAAGTAAATCCCATATTTTTTCAAAACCAGTAAGCTACTAAGTTGCTGCTTACCTTTTGATTGAACGAATATTATGTTTATAAGTAAATAAAATTAGAAGAAAGAAGAATTATTTTCAGGGCCGTGCGGTGCTATGATACAAAGAGGCGGCCGCCTCAGGCGGCACCATTAAGGGGCGGCAAAGTAGCGAAATCAAAATGCAATTTCAGGGTTGCAATAATAATTAGGTACTAAATCATAAACTGGACTCATTTAAATTTTAATTACTACCAAACTCGTGAATGTTTTTATCCCTTTAAAAGTTTTTTCATTGTCCACATTTTTCTATAAAAATAAAAAAAAAAATTCTCCCTCATTTAGCATTTGCTTTTGCTATTCCTTTCAATATGAATAAAAACGTTTTGAAACGCATATTAGCGTGGACTATTTTCTTATTGTTTCAAATTACTGGCGTGGACTATTATTTAATTAGCGTGGACTATTATTAAATTAGCGTGGACTATTTTCTTATTGTTTCAAAATATTGTTTTCAAACGTTTTTAAACGTTTGTGTTTGCCTGTCTTTGCAAGTTAAATTTTAACTTTGTAATGTCATCATGTTTTTAACTGTTAAAAACATGATGACATTACAAAGATTTTACAAAATTTTTACAAAAATTTATTACAGCAGTGACAGCAATCGTCAGCATGGAACAAAAAAGAAAAAAATTATCTGAAAGTCAATACAAAAAGAAACGCTTAAAGAATGAGGAACAAGAAAGAAAGCTCAGCAATGTTATGATGAAATTCTTAGTACAAAAGTGCGGTTTAGATGAGCCATCCACATCAGCAGCAACTGATTTGGCAAATAACAACACAGTGCCGCCCCAATCACTTCCAGAAGAAGTTGTTGAAGAGAGCCAAATACTAACACCATCAGATCTTCATGAACAGCCGGGCAGCACATCCACGTCAACTGCGACTGCCTTGGATTTGGCAAATAAAAACACAGTGACGCCCCAATCAATTCCAGAAAAAATTGTTGAAGAAATCCAAAAAATAACATCATCAGAAGTTCATCAAGAACCGGGCCGCATTAGCAGTGGCAGTCAGCAGGTATTAAAAGAAATTCCTTCAGATCCTGCATTATGGCTTACTTTCTGCATGTCATCTCAAACTCGTCAACTACTGGTTGAGAGGGGTCCCCATCAAATTAAAGAATTCGAGTTTCCTATTAATAAAGGAAAGCGTAGATTTTTGCCCTCGTATTATTCGAAAGTGTTGAGCAATGGTGAAGTCGTTGAGAGAAGTTGGCTTATTTACTCTATCTAGCCCAAAAAAGGCTATTCTGACTGGAAAAATCTTATAAGAGCCCTCACAATGCACGAAAAGTCTGTAAATCACAGAAATGCTTTTAGAGCATGGAAAGAATTGGACATTCGATTGAAGCAGAAAAAAACTATTGACGCTGAATATCAACGAATTATGGATATGGAACTTCAGCATTGGAGAGGAGTTATAAAAAGAATTATGTCAATAATTAAACTATTGGCCTCACAATGTTTAGCTTTTCGTGGATCAACTAAACATTTGTTTCAACCTAATAACGGGAACTTCCTAAAGTTGGTAGAATTACTTTCTGAGTTTGATCCAGTTATGGAAGAACATATCAGGAGAGTTCAACGAGAGTCTGATAAATGGTCAGTGACTTATCTAAGCAATAATATACAAGATGAATTGATATATTTAATGGGAAATTCAATTTCAAGAAAAATTGTCGAAATAACAAAAATCGCTAAATATTTTTCTATAATCGCTGATTGTACCCCCGACGTCAGTCATTATGAACAGCTCTCCTTAACAATAAGAGTTGTTACTTTTAACTCCATTCAAAATAAATATATTCCATTCAAAATAAATATAAAATTGCAGAATTCTTTATTGGTTTTTTTGAAGCTAGTGATTCAACCGGAGAAGGTTTGGCAAAACTTATTCTGACACATTTGGAAAAATTAGGTTTTGCGTTAAAGTGGCTTAGGGGACAAGGCTATGACAACGGAGCCAATATGAAAGGAGTAAGAAAGGGTGTTCAAAATAGAATACTTGAAAAATATCCAAGGGCTTTTTATGTGCCCTGCGCATGTCATTCTTTAAACCTTGTTGTGAATGATGCAGCGTCTTCTACTACAGAAACAACATTTTTTTTTTCTTTTGTACAAGAACTTTACACTTTTTTTTCTGGTTCTACAAAGCGTTGGGAAGTGCTAAAAAAGTATGTTTCTCAATTAACTCTGAAACCATTAAGTGCTACTAGGTGGGCAAGCAGAATTGATGCTTTAAAACCTTTACGATTTCAACTTTGCGAAATCTATGATGCATTGATTCTGATAATAGAAGACGTCAATAGAGATGCAGAAACTAAAGTTAAAGCGAGAGGGTTAGCAAAAAATATTAAAAATTACAAGTTTATATGTGGAGTAATTCTTTGACATGATATTTTGTTTGAAATTAATTCAGTTTCGAAGCTTTTGCAATCTGTTACTATAAATATATCAGATTGTGTAAGGATGCTATCAGAAACTATAAAAAAAGTGAAAAGTTATAGACAATCTGGATATATTCAGATGAAAATTGCTGCAAAGGAGATAGCTGAGAATCTCGAATGCAGTACAGAATTTCCTGATGACACTGAAGTTAGACCCAGAAGGAAAAAGCGTCAATTTGACTATGAAAAAGCTGTCGATGAACCCTTAACAGAGGAGAAAAAATTTAAAATAAACTTTTTCAACTATATTCTGGACATTACCCTTAATTCTCTGAATGAACGATTCACGCTTCTGGAAACCCATAGCAAAAAATTTCAGTTCTTATATGACATTTTAAAACTCAAGGATATAGATGACAAAACGCTAGAAAATTATTGTTCCAGTCTTGAGTTTATACTTTCGGTTGAAAATGAAACAGATATAAATGCAAATGACCCTAGAGAAGAACTGCGTGATGTATCCAGAATGCTACCATATTCTACGAAACCTTTGGATGTTTTAAATTATTTATGCCAAAATAGCTTAATTAGTTTGTATCCAAATACTGTTGTAGCTCTGAGAATTTTATTAACTCTCCCTGTATCTGTAGCTAGTGGGGAAAGAAGTTTCTCCAAACTAAAATTAATAAAAAACTACTTAAGAAGTTCAATAGGACAAACAAAACTTAAAATCTGGCATTAATTTCTATTGAATCTGCAATGGCTAGCACTCTAGACTACACATCAGTAATTAACGAATTTGCTAAAGTTAAAGTTAGAAGAGTAAACCCGTAATACTGTACATTGTTGTAGTTTATAGTTGAAATCATTATTTTAAAATTTCAAAATAAAAAGTAGAATTCGTACATTTTGTGCAGTTTTTTTTAAATCACAATCGAAGGTTATTTTAAAGAAAAACATTTAAGGGACGGCATTTCAAAGATTTGCCTCATAATGAGAAAATCTACCGCACGGGCCTGATTATTTTTTGTAACTGTCTGTGCTTTTTTTGAACAAGAAGTTATCCATTGATCAAGTATTTTCCTCCATTATTTAAAGAAAAATATTTATTAAAAAAATATTTTTTAAAGGGTCCATAAAATGCAACATCAAGAGGTTGCAACGAATGAGTAGAGTTACCAGTTATAGAACAAGATACTGTTGTTTTCAGTGAATATGTTCAAACCGTCCTGAATTTGGTTGTATTGTGCATTAGGTGGTTCACTTTCGGTTCTTGTTGTCTATAAATGGTCAGCTTTATAAAAATAACTAGAGACAATTTGACAAGGCACTAAACATAGATGACGTAACATAACATGTTGTACAATTGCTAATTTTTGCATATTTGTAAAAACTATGGATTTTCCATCTGTTTTCAAATTAGGTTTTTAAATCTATTATACAAAGTGGCAACTTGCACTTAGTGAAAATCTATTAATTTTTTGTATGGTAAACTACTATTGTTACCATAAAGTTGAAAACTGGTACTCATTAAATTTATATACTGCCTTGTATCAATTTTTTTTTTTGTATAAACGTGGGATAGTACTGCTATAAAATGCTAAATAAAAACAAATTTAAAGATGAATAACAGTAATTTCAACAAATTTAATTCAACTCAGTATTAAATGAACATACATATATATATATATATATATATATATATATATATATATATATATATATATATATATATATATATATATATATATATATATATATATATATATACAGTAAAATCTCAGTAATTTGAAATTTATGGGGGTAAATTAGTACAGCCATCCTTCCGACGCTTGAAAATTTTTAAAGCATAACTCTTTTTTATAAAGCTTTTTATTTTACCAACAAACCATTATTTAGTACATTATCAGCTCTCATTTGTTTGAACCATTTAAGTACAGCTTTTTTTACTAGGTAATACTTATCAGCTTTTTATTTTACCAACAAACCATTATTTAGTACATTATCAGCTCTCATTTGTTTGAACCATTTAAGTACAGCTTTTTTTACTAGGTAATACTTATCAACTTTCATCCGTTTAGTCAAATTTCCTTGACAAAAAGCATTAAAGATTTTATTTTTATTCTTTTTCCAGGTTGAAAGAATGTTTGGTGGAATATCAAAAATTTTCGAAACCTCTTTATTTGTTTTTCCTTTCTCCAATTCCGTTAGAGTTTTCTATTTCCGCTTTAAATTCTTTTCTTTATGCATTTTCTTTGATGCGACGATTTTTTTAAAATCTAAGGAAAATAATAGACTGAAGAAAATTTACACTAATCGTTTTCAAAAACTCACAACATTCGAAATTTGAAAAAAGATTTTGACGGTTTAACGAGCTTTTTACACGTTAGAAGTAAAAAAAGTTCGATTTATAAGGGAAGAATCTTACTGACGGGTCTAAAAAATCCATTCGAATTGTGGAGGTTTTCGAGTTATAGAGATTTGATTATCGAAAGTTAAACCTTAGAGTTTCTTAAGAGCATTTCACGGCGACTTTGTATTTAATCGAATTACGGAGGTTTTTGAATTAAAGAGATTTAAATTAGAGAGATTGTACTGTTCTATAATTTAATGTTATAGTTTTCGTAAATGGTGTGTATTGATTTTTTTGAACATTATATTTTGCCGTTTAATAAAAATAACAATCCCTTAATTTAGAACTAAGTTTATGGCCAAAGCAAGAAGAAAACATTATTTATGGCTTATCGCCGAGCACCGTGTTACAATTTATAAATTTTTACAATTTTTTTTTTCAAGAACAGAGTATAAATTGAGAATTAAATAGATGTTTATAAAATAAGCATAAAATAAATCATTTAAAATAATAGATAATAATAAAAATAAACTTCACTGTCTGTGAGTGAGTAAATGGGTGTTTGCGCATGTGTGTGATTATTTTTTTTATTCTAGGATAAAAAATAAATTACTTTCATTTTATCTAGTAGATATATATTTTTTTTGAACCTCTTTACGTATACGTAGTACCTTTTCCAAAATTACATTCATTTTGTTTATCATTTCATGTATAACATAAAATATGGACTGATATGAGATAAAATATTAGATAAAACAAAAACCAAACTAACAAAAAATATGATTTGTCATATTGATTATTGTCAATTTGTTTTTTAATTTTTTTAAATTATTAAATACTTAAACAAGGTAAATCATAATTATGTGTAATAAAAACCTATTTGATTCAGTTTTCAACTAATTAAAAAAAATATTCTTCTTAATTGTTTGAGAATTGAATTCTTCGAAGCAATTGTTTCAAAGCTTTTCTATAAAAATGCGATTCTGAACTAAATAAGTTTTGAATACGATTTTGATACCATCAAGCGTTTTATGAAAAACATTGTAGCATATTTATGGTGTATTTCTTTATAAAAGTTTCAAAGATTTTGGGGACATTTATTTTTTAATTTAATATCTATAGGTATTAGGTTTAAGTGTTTTAAAAGTATGATGTAGTGGTTTAGTACTTGATTTCAGAATCAGCATTTTATTAATAATTTCATTTATCTAAAAGCCTATAATTTTTTTTATTTCTATTGTAAGATTGATAATGAACTTGCTTTTGTTGTTGTTGTTGATGATGATAAACAAGTTCACATGGATTTAAACAAATAAAGAAAGCAAGCGCATAAACTGCAAAAGAATTACAACTTAAAAAACTTTGATCATTATTTTAGTGATAATACAACAATAGAGCTCAACTTTAAAATTTTTTGTTTATAATTTGTAAATTTACTTAATTAAATATTGTTGCTAAATTAAAATATTAACTAAAATATTTCAAAAATATGCGCCAAAAATATGCGCCAAAAAACATGCGCCAAATACGATTTAATTTTAATAACTAATTTTTGTATTTTTAGTTTTGAATTATTATTGAGTTTAAAAAAAACAACAAATTATTTCATTTGTTGTGTTTTTTTTTAAATTTCAATTAAAAAAAACTACATTTATTTAATTAACATAATAAACATAAATTTACAATAAAATAAACTTACAACGCAAAGTCAGACATTGAAAGAGTTAAAGATTTTTCAAAAAAGTGACATCTTAAAACAAATAAAATAGTAACAACAAATTAAAGAAAAACAAATTATGAACCAAATGACAGACAAACAAATTAGAAGACAAACAAGCAAACAAACGCAAAAATTGCAGATTCAGAAAAAGTTATATAAATACAAAATGTATTAAATAAAAATGACGAAGAAATAAACAGTAATCGAAAAATAAAACAGGTTTTCTGAAAATAACAAAATAAATAATCACTATTTAAAAAACAGACAGTATTTTAAAATTATCATAAAAATTATAAACAAAGTTTAACAAAAAAAGTCTTATAAATTTAACAAAAAAGTCTAAAACTTTGAATTTATAAACGCGATAGGTAACAATTAAAAACAAAATTTTTAAAAATCTTTTTATTTCATTTTAGCTCTTTGGCTCCTTTTTTTTTTTTTTTTTTTTTTTAAACAACACTGAATTTAAATTATTTCTTTTTTTATCTAAATTTTTGTGCTGTATAATTTTATATCTTTTTCTTCTCTGTTTGTTTTATTTTCTTCTCTGTTTGTTTTACTTTCTTCTCTGTTTCTTCTTCTTTTATTGTTCTATCTCTTTTATTTTCTTCTCTCACTGCTAAAAGGTGTTATTTATATTTTATTATCATAACTGAATGAAAACGAAATAGTAATTATTAAGGTACTTGAAACAAATTCAAAATATCCACTATGATTAAAACTTAAACAAATATTTTCTTTAGTTCATATATTTTCTTCAATTCATATATTGTCTGCCAGCTATAATTGTAAGGCCGGCCGGCTAATCGTCTTGTGAAACATAGAATATTTCGAGTTTTTCTAAAGTTTTAGCAAAAATACTTGAAAGTTGTCCGCCGAGATAAATACCGGAAGTAACGATTGCAAAAGCTTTGAGTAGTCTTTTATTAGAGTTCATAGGGAATGGTCTAGATTTTATAGCTCCTGAAGGGAAATGAGTGCCGGAAGGTTTAGTTTTGTAAATCAACTGGAGTTGATCGTTTTCAGTCAAGCGATAGATAAAGTTACTTTTAAGCTGTGATGAGTACTTATTAAACCAAGCTGTTTCTATCTGTACGTTTCTCATGATATATTTCATTTTTAAACTTTTCGCATAGATTTTATTTTACCTTATCTTTATTATCTTTTACTTCAACTGACATTTTTGTTTTACTTAGATTTTGTTTTATATTTTATTATAAGTTTAACTGAATATAAAATAAGTTAAAAACATTAAAAAACAGACAAAAAAAAAAAAAACTCCTGCTGTTTAACAACCAAATATGTTCAGATATAATGTTTTTTGTTTCTATAAGGCGTATTTCAACTTGTTTAGCTTATTGAACATGTTTAAATATATGAATACTTTTATATAATATATTAATATATGAATGATGAATATTTTATGTATGCACAAAGTGATTATCGGTAAACAGAGCGGATTTAACATTAGCACGGCGTTTGAAATTGCAATACCACGCCAATATAAATATTGTTATAGTGACAATTTTTAACAACAAATTAATGAATTGCCGTAAAATAGTTTTAGATATCCTTTTAAAACTAAGAAATAAAATTTTAAAGTTATAATTTTTTTCTATTCAACTATTATTTCAATCATTTTCTCAACAATTTAATAAACTTTAATATT